AGTGTTGCATGTATATTTATAATGTTGTCATATTTGTCATAACAGGAGCAAATTGAAAAACTGTATCAGTGCCTAGGAAGGCACGTAATGTATATTTCCAGGTAAAAACAAATTGCAGAGACTGAAGCTTCGATTCGTTCGAATATATACTTGAATACTTGAAAGTGTTTTTGAGCTATGCAGCACTTAACAAGCACATATGGTGAAAATCACAGCAGTGCCTGTATCCAGACAGACAGAATGCACTCTCCTTCACGTTTAGACTCACAGCTGTTGTTTCTCTCCCTATCCCCTCCCAACGCACAAGTTTTATTGAAGAAGTCAGCGGCAAGCCCTGGTCTGTTTCACTGTTACATGAAATGTCAGGGAGGCATCCAACAGTTGTCTGTTAGCAGGCAAGTGCATGCACTGTGGCCCTGCCTGTTGACATTACTCATGGTACTGTTAGTGGGTTGGCTTGAGCTGACATCACGCCCTATAGCTATCGTATACTAGTAGTTGTTTTGTGTTAGTATACATGCATATGTTAAGGATAAAAGAGAATGTGAAGAATGTCCTTTGGTCTTGACATTTGCATCCTTTTGTGAAGAAAAATTAGAAGGTACATTTTGTAATTTGACGTTACCCTGGCAGGTATTTTTATTTTGTAATCCTAAATTTGCCAGAGGCTAAGAAGGACCAACCCACATATTTTGCCTAATTTTCCCCTAGTGTACTAACAGGTCTAAGGTAAATATCCCAGCCAGTGATGCATGAAGCATAAATTATGGCCCATCTAGAACATGTCCTCACATCATAAGAGGGTCTGCATGCCCTTTTTCGTTAACCGTTATGGGCTATCTTAATTTACCGTTAATCGTTGCCGACCTGCTCTAATTCAACGTTAAGCGTTATCAGTATATTCATCGTGAAGCGTTATTGGTCGTTTTAATTCAACGTAAAACGTTATTTGTCATCCTAAATTCAGCGTTAAGCGTTAATGAATAATTCTTTGTTACGCCTAACTTTGCCTTTCAAAGTGCAGGAAAATGCGTCATTGAAGGTTCAAAAATACAAAATTTCCAGGGGGAGAATGCCCCCGGACCCCCCTTCATTGCTCGCGCCTTTGGCGCTCGACTTGCGCTTCTGCGCCCGGCCCCTTTCGGCAATAGTCAGCACCAGTTTTCCGTCAATTACAGGAAGTTTGCGGAGCGTTACAGAATTTTTTTTACGAATCCGTCAACCTTGACAGACAAAATAACAAAAATCTTGAGTAAAAATATGAAAACATCAGAAGGACCGACAAACACTCAACACCATGATTTGCCTCTCAAAATGCGGGAAATTGCGTTTTTGAAGGCTTAAAAATCCTAAATTTCCCGGGGAGCACACAGTCGGAGCCCCTGAATTGCGAGTGCCGGGCTCTCAAAACCCATAGGTAAAACTGGGCGAACGGAGAAAAGTCAAGCTGGGTAGAGCCTTGGCCGACGTCGACTCGGACTCCCCTTTATTTGTGGACGCATTAGGGGACCAGGGCAGGTGGGAAACACAGGGAACACATACCTTTGATGCGTGCTTTATTACATGTAAGGTATACGTAATTTTGTCAGTGATCACCTTTTCTCACAAAGCGAGATACCAAATCCAGTGGAGCTCGAAAAAAAAAGCCTGTCAATTTACCGTTAAGCGTTGCCGACCGTCCTGAATTTACCGTTAAGCGTTATCGGCCCTGCTGAATTTACCGTTAACCGTTGCCAGGACCCCCCATGCAGACCCTCTCATAATAGTCCATTAAGCATTAACATGGCAATTCTAACAACTTCCTTCTAACAACCTAACCTGCCTGGTTTCTGTTTACACTGTAGGATATCTGCTAATCCCTCCATGTAAATAGTGTTTGTAACTTGTAACAAGCAGAGAGAGAACTGTGAAAATTACCATAATGTATATTCTGTAATATCAGACGTTTCAATCCTAGGTAATATGTAGAGAGCAACAAATGTTGGGGCATGACATTACCTTGTTTAAATTTTAAAATGAGCTTGTTAATGTTATATCACCACTTGGAAATCTGCCTAGGAAAAGGCCAAGATTTGTGAGGCTTCAACCAGATGGTTCATTTCTGGGCAAACAAAATGAAAAAAACAACATCAAATTGAAAATTAGTCAGAAAGGCCACCACCTATTGATACTGTTATATAAGCTTTTCAATAAGTCCTGTAGTTGACCTTTTCGAACAAGACCTTGTTTCATATGCCTTGTTTGGAAATTTGCCCGAAAAGCTGCTGACATTTGCAAGAAACTAAGAAGGAAGGACAAGGGTTGAGATTTCCTTATCACCCCATGTCTCTCTGGGACCAGGTGCACTTACTCTGGCTTGAAACCCCCTTAAGTACTAAATGGGATCTTTCTTTATCGGAAACCTTAAGGGAAAGTAGTGAAACCTTAAAATTCAGATAAAAAGGCTTCAGTGCATGGAATTCAGTGCCACACATGCT